CATGTTTGTGTACGATAGCGCAATAAATAAATATTGTATTCTACCACATACATGATAGTACTTTTATACTGATAATTAAAGCAATTCGTGCAAAATTATTCCCTAACCATTTCAAAATATCAAAAATGCACAACGTTAATATTCAAGTTTTCACTTCTGCCGGCACTCCCGGAGTGCAACCCGTCGTTTTTTTTAAGTTAGGTCCGATAAATGACTCCGCCCCACCTAATGTTAAGTGACGGTGAAGTCCAGACGTGAAGATAGCTGGTACAGCAGTTCTACCTGCCACACCAGCCATACTCACCCTGCCGGCCTGCATGTTGCTTCTTCACGCCTCTTTAAAAGAATCCCAAGTTGTAAGAACGAGGGAACACGTAAGCGGGCAGAGCATTCCATTTACGGATAGTGCGACAAAGAAATGAGTCACCAATTTTTTTTGTACGCGTTGGAATTGTGGCCACAGTTAGACGGTGACAACGAAGGCCAGTGCGCGTGATCCTCTGAAGGAAAGGAGAAGGTGGGATAAGAGAGAATAACTCCTCAAAACACTCGGTACAGACGATAGAACGTGCTTAGTGACGCCAATTCACGGCGTAATTGAAGAGGCTTGAGGTGTTTAGTCACCTCCTCATCGCCTATGATGCGGATCGCGCGCCGCTGTAACCTATCCAAAGCATCGAGCAAGTACTTGGCTTAATGCTTAACTTTTACTTAATGCAGTCTTTGTCTTCTTTTTATCAAACAAAAGTGACAGCATCAGTTTAGCACAGGTTCAAAGGACATGGCTAAGAAACTGGCCTTAACATGTATAATTATTTCGTACTGGCCCGCAAAATTAAAATATTTTTTTATTAAATATTATGTGTTTATTATTGCCATAAAACTTTCGTGAAATAATCAAATATTTAAAAATATAAAAACTAATCATGTCTGTTCCAAAAGGCAAATGTTCCATAGATCTATACAAAAAAATATTTATGTAAGTATGTCGAAATAAACAATTTCAATTCCCGACTCCTAAGAACTATGAAATGCTTGACCCAATTATTTTTATAACTGATCACTGAAGACTTAAAATAATGACTTTGATTTTTCTGATCAGACACGAGACAGGGCTGTATGAAAATTAATTCTTTGATTTTTGCAAGAGAACACAATATAATTTCACAGATTTCTTGTCAGGCCGACAACTTCTCTTATGGGTCTGTGCCGACAACAAATCATTTGTATTTATTTTAGCATTAAAACGCTTTTTGTACTTTTTTCAAAGAAATGGGATAAAAGATTCTAAGAAAATGCGAAATTGATGGCTTTGTAAATAAATTGGCAATATCTTTTATCAAATGTAGCAAGGTAATGATGTAGTATGTGTTTACATATTTTTCAGTATTGTAACTTTATCTAAAGTTCCTGAGCTCTTTTTCATAGAAATCATAAACTTTCAGCCATTGAGCATTAAATATCACTAAGTACAATATTTATACATTGCAGGGCAATCTACCATACAAATTTTGACCATGCCCACGTCTAAGTTTACAAGTCTACGTTCTGTAATAAGGCTGTTAAGGGGTTTTTTATAGCTAAGAACCATCTCGAGCATCATCATCATCAGCCTATTAATGTCCCCACTGCTGGGGCACAAACCTTATCTATGGATGGAATAGGGAGATTGGGCCATGACCCACCACGCGGGCCCAGTGCGGATTGGTGGGTGCTAACGACTGCAAATGCAGCCGGAACCAACGGCTTAACGTGCCTTCCGGAGCACGGCGGAGCTCGAGATGGTCACCCATCCAATGACCGACCACTGCGAAAGTTGCGTAACTTCAACGATCGCAGCCGAACCCGCTAGCCACCTGCGCCATCGAGCTCCTCTCGATCATGTTGGCTTTCAAATAAAAAAACTGCATCCAAGTCGGTCTATTCGTTTAGAAGGACACGTCAAACCACCCCTCTTTCTTCCTCGGGAGTCAAAAATTTTTTATTAGAGTTATGGTAGAATGAAGAACATCGAGGACTCGTCATCAGACTATTGATATCCTCATTTTTCTGAGACAGGCTTCCCCTAAAGACATTTGCGAAAAAAGGTATAAAAAGAAAACTTTTTAACAAAAAAATTAAACCGCTGAAAAGGAAAAATAATGAACCTTTTTTATCTTTAGTGTAATTAATATTTTGACTCAGTGCCAGTGCCAGGCCAACCCAAATTGTAAACCCAGATCTATCAGACGTGCTTGGCACCAACTCCAAATATTAATTTGAATAAAAATAAAAATGGTATATTATTTTTTACTTTTCAGCACTTTAATTTTTTTTTGTTTAAAGAAAGAAAGAAAGGTAATACATTTATTCTGACACAAACAACGAGACAGTAGATACAAGATTTTGAGCAACAAAAAAATATAAAAAAATAGAAAAATAATCTGTAAAGGTTATTATTTTACTATTTTATTGTGGCTATAATTTTTGTAACATACAAAAATTCTCGGCATCAAAATGTGTGAGTGAACAACCAATCCTTTTTCCCACACTTAAGATAATTTATTTTTTCCAAATTTGTGTGCGACCAAATTAAGAACAGTTATCAAAATCAGATTACTCTGTTAAAAGTTATGCGTGGTCATACATAAAAACAATATAGGTATATTGAAACGCATCAATTTGAGAACCTCCTCCATTTTTTTCGTCGGTTAAAAGAGGTTCCATGACGATGCGAATTCACCCTGGTATCATAATTTTTAGGACTATGTGAATCTATCTCCAAAGTGAGGGACCGTAAATCTGTGATTTTGTGTTAGGTGCCATCAAAAGACTTTCTGAACGTTGCTAAGCAATGAATAGCGTCCAATAGTGAAGATTCAATCATGTTTGAAGTAATACAATAAAGCAATAAAAATTATAAATTAATGTTTACTATGCGTAAGCATAAATATTTAAAAATATACTCTACCCGCATCTGTCATTTGATTTAATTTGCTCCTTGAATAATTAACACGTGCCCCAAAATAAATTAGACTGAAAAAAAAGAAATATGCACAGCGTAAGGTGAAAACAAAAGACGGGCGCGCGCCATATTTAGATGTGACAGCAAAAAAGGCGCCAAAACTACAAGCGTCGTCATTTATCACTCGGCGCGACATAAAAAGGGGCGACGACGGGACCCGACGTGTCGTCATTAGTAGCAATTAAACGGGGAACAACTAAAATTACATATACAAATTGGTAACGAGTCAAAATGAACCATAACACCTGTAGATAGAAGCGAAAACCAAGCTAAAACTACGGGGATTTCGTAAAAAGCCCCAGTTTTCGGCAAGGAATATCAGAATTCTTCTTCCTTGAGTCCCAACAATATTACATTTTTATGAATCTAATTAAAACTGCCGTCTAAACTGCGGCTTTAATGTGTAGGAGAAATAAGCGACGGGGGAAGTGTCCTCCACCTTAAAGAGGATTGCAGCTGAGGTAGATACAATAAAAATATATTATCTTATTAAGTTAGTACTATTGTATTCCTTTGTTTGTTGAGATCGCCAGAAGTACAGTAGGGACAGAAGCTTTTAATTCCATAATTGTGTTAAAGATTCTTTGCCTCAAAAGAAAAACTGAACCTTATCACTTTGATGTTCGTCCGTCCGTCTGTCTGGTTATCAAGAGTTTTTCTGTCGAGATCACATAGAGGTGAAAAGCTGAAATGAATATCAAATATATATATCTAGATGAACAGTGAAAAGATCTCAAAGTTCTTAATCTGACGCAATGAGAAGATAAGGCCGAATTTACACATCTTGTACCACATATATTTGACACTCGCAAGAAAATCAAAACCTACTTCACGAGAACCTAGAATCCTGAAGTTTAGCAAGAAAAGAATCGATAGTGGAATATTCATTATCATCATCAGCCTACTAGTGTCCCCACTGCTGGGCCACAGGCCTTCCCTATGGATTGAATAGGGAGATTGGGCCATGACCCACCCGCGGGCTTAGTGCGGTTGCTAACGACTGCAGATGCAGAATGAAAACACCACTTAAAGTACTGTTATTAAACTGTGGTTCTGAATTCGGAGTTTACTACCTCAGGCAAATGATATTAGCTTCATGCATTTTACGCCAAAGTTTAAATAAATAAATTACTATTTCCAACACGCACAACAATTAGCCTAGCTCCAAAATAAGCACTGTAGGTTTTTGCTATGGGATACTTAATACATATACTGTACATATATAAGTATATTTATAAAGAAATACATATTAAACATCCATGACTTGAGTACAAATACTCGTATTCATCACACAAACATCTGCACCCACCAGCATTCGAACCTCTCGAGTAAGCAACACCTGGGAACCCGGCGTGCAAACCACTCGACCACGGAGGTCGTCGGCGTCAACTTGAACCCGAAGTGTACTTACCTACGGAATGCAATCCTCCTGGGAGACCTTTACCGCACTCAATGGATATTTCACAGTTATAAATTCCAAACCTAAGTAGACCACCACGCCACTAATTAATGGACATTGAACGTAAACAAACAAATAATGTCACACAATGCATCTTCGTCAACTGTCCTAAGAGTTCCAAAGCTAAATAGATACTTCACGCCATCAATTAATCGATCTTTTTATTGTTTAAATTTGTTAGTAAATAAAATTATTAACAATTTTAATGTGCCGGAACAGTGGGCCAATCGCCTAACCAGATTGCTTTGGAAAACGCTATCGCTTACGATTTCATTTTGTTATTTCTAGCCACCTGAGGTTTACAAATGCCTCGCGTCTTTTTTTTTTCTTTTACATTGTTAATAACAATATTAAAAAAAAATGAGCGTGAGGTATTTGAAAACCTTCGGCGGTCAGAAATAACAAAATGAAATCGTAAGCGATAGCGTTTTCCTAAGCAATCCCGTTAGGCGATTGCCCCCCAGAACACCTTTCGGCAAAAGATCTTCCTTCATGAGAGTCGCCAGACGTTGGATCGGCACCCTCACCACAAATGAATTAAATTCCATATTGTGACGGGACTCCAACCATGCGACTCTCTAGGAAAACTTGGTCTACATTTTCAGGTACTCTACGATCTCCTCTTCCTTCGTAGAGTGATGCAGTCGGAACACGTTCAGCGGCCTCATCGGTATTGCAGGACGCTGCAGGTTCGGCCCGGTCGGGGCAACACCACACAAATTGTGGCGAGCGGGCTTCCTCTTCTTCCTTTCCACCTTGATGAAGACCTCTTCCTCGCAAATCTGATTTTGTGCCGCAGCCGTTTGAAGCAGAGTGTGCTACTCTTCCCTTTTGCTTGAACATCGTCAGGCCAGCTGGCGTCTGCAGCTGCGTAAGCACGTTGCGATGTGGCCGTGCATGCGCGTGTCTTCGGCGAGGCAGAATGCAGGCTGCACCGACTCAATACCGCAGTCAGATGCATTTGGCGGTCCGCGACGTGTGTACACGTTAGAGGCCTGAGGGGAGCCAGCGTTACTGATTAACGCTACCTGAGCTCGCAACCCACCGATGGTGTTGTTTAAATACTGTAACTTGCTCACTACATCGGCCAGGCTTGCTTTCAGGAAGTTAATGTCCTTCAGCAGCCTGGTGATGAAGGCTTGGTCGAACGTGACGGAAGCTTGTGCAGCTCCTTTGCTACCAATGTAGGCACGTTGTCTGTATTGGTTTCTTTCAGCAGGGTGATGATGTCCTGCATTCTCTTCTCAGTATAGTCCATCCGTCGTCATGGCATCTTGTCGGCCATGCCGATAGACCGGAACAATAGTACCTTGTCACTGCAAACCTCATCCTCCTTGCAGATCTGTAGGATGCTGACCTCGTCCATAGTGCCGATGGCGTTTTGGATAAACGCCAATAACTCGTTAACTATGAGTTGTTTGGAACTCATAGCCACAGGAGCAACGGCTGTTGCCGTGTGAGACGCGAATAATAGTTCTTACTGCACACTATTTGCACACTTATAAAAAACTAGTGGGTATCCGCGACTTTGTCTACTTGCGCCATCTTATATTTTATCTTATAATTTTCTATGTCTTTCCCCGGGACTCAAACTATCTTTATACCAAATTTTATCCAAATCAGTTTAGCAGTTTAAGCTTGTAGAGGTAACAAACACACAAACGCATTCTCATTAATACTATTAGTATGGATTTATGGATAGTGCGACACAATGCATTTTTGACACGTCTCGTAGCGCGTCGACGTCGGCTCAGTCGTCGCCTCTCATTGGCTGCGCTTTCCCGCCATAAGGTGTCGCTTGACAAGTGGATGACAGCTGTCAACGTCACCTATGATTGGCGGACAGGCAAGACAAACTGCCCACGTCCCGTACCGCTAATGATTTGTCGTGTGGTGAATGATTCCGTTGAGATGCTTGTTTATGTTTTATTTGTTGTCGTGTTTAATTCTGCTGTCAGTAACTGCAGAGGGGTCATGGGCTTTCGAGCTGTGATGGATGATGCCAAATATTTATGGCAGACATGAAACTTAAAGAGACATATGTACATGCGGTATTCTGTTTAGGAATTCAGATTCGGGATCCCATGAGCCTAGCGCAAAGGTTTTGGTATTATTTATCAGGTAGTTCCCAATCCGCGATGGACATTACTCTCTCCCCCTTATTATGAAGACTAAGCTTGGATTAATTACACCCTGTTTAGTCTCTGTTCATTGAATGACAAATGGCATTTGAGTGACATGAACAAAACACAGCGTACCTTGTCTATGTTTATTCCTTGTTTATTAATAAAGGGGTGTTCTACCAATTGATAGTCAAGATAGCAAAATACCGGCATTTTGTAACCTACTAATTTTTCAGAGGAAAAGTGAAGACAATTAATTGATAAAATGATCCCAAAACGGCAGATTGTAATTTAGTTTACAGCTGTTCGAAACAATTTAGGGTTGTCGAGTTTGACGAAAATATCGTCATATTTTATATCGAGTTTGACGAAAATATCGTCATATATGACTTTCTTTTTCACAAAAAATAACCATTCTTGAATGAACTTGACAACAAACAGTATGATATCGTAAGACTCGTTAGCTTTTGTAAAAGTTAGTTTTCCGTTAGGTGGTTGGTCATCTCAAAAACTTAACTTGATAAAAGACTGAAGAAGCGTCTGGACTTCACCTTCACTTAACATCAGGTGGGGTGGAGTTATTTGTCAAACCTCTCTATATAAAAAAAAAACACCATATCGTGCTATAAATATTATAAATGGGAAAGTTTTGTATGTCTGTTACTCAATCACGCAGAAACTACTTAACGGATTGGAATGAAATTTGATACGCGTATAGTTTATGATCTGGATCGTCACATAGGATACTCTTTATCCCGGAAAACTGTTTCATTCCAGTGAGATCCTCAAAAAACTAAAGTTAAAAACACGGACAAAGTCGCAGGCGGCCGCTAGTAGAGAATAAAAAGAAGCGACATATCAAATTTTGTTATTATATTTAGGCCCAGTACAGCTTCTGGTGGTTAAATACTAATACACATTATCTCTTTACCCGTTAAAAGGACCTCCCTAAGGCTTATTTTAAGTGTGAGTGTCACCCATTTATCTGAACCTTGCCGCCTCTGCCTTGCTTCCTAGAAACATGACCCCATTATAAGAAAGTGAGATTTCCCTGTGGTCTTTTGAAAATAAGTTTTTTTTTCAAAACCAAATTTTAACAATTAATTTGCAAATTATAATTACAATTAATATTTCATTAAGAAAAGTATAATGATATATAATATATATTTATTTCCCCTAAGTGTTTCTGTCAGCCCTATTCGTCCCTAAGGGCAATCGCCAGGTCGCACTATTATGTTAGTTCTAAGCGATTGAGGCACGAACCAATCCGGCGGAAGCTATATGTATAGTGACCACACTGCAAGTGAAAGCAAGACAAAACAATTTAGGCGAAGTTTTTTTTTAATTTAGTTTTAAAAAATCCTGCTTGGAAGAAAGTTTATTCAAAATTATTTCGGGAACAATGTTACGTTGTAAGTGCTACATAGGGTAAGAAAATAGAGCTCAGCCCTTATAATGAAACGTTTTGCTTTGCGCTATCCGTCTCCTTTTATAGTTGCGAAAGAGATAGTTATGTCAAATTGCATTGACACTTTTCTTAGGTTTAAAGAGGAAAGCGAAAGAAATAATAAATATTTCCAACACTTACACCAATTAGCCTAGCCCCAAAGTAAGCACTGTAAGGCTTGTGTTATGGGATACTAGGGTAACGGATAGAATACATATACAGTACATATATAAGTATATTTTATATAGAAATACGTATTAAACATCCATGACTGGAGTACAGATGCTGGTATTCATCACACAAATGACGGGATTCAAACCCGGGACCTCTCGAGTCTGCGACGCCATGAAGAAATAGAGTTAGGCTATTAACACCCAGACTCCGGACACGCATTAGAAGGACCCCGGTCCTTAGAATGCATGTCGGGCGAACAGTGCAGGAGTATTGTCTGGTTTTTACTGGGTAATTCATCGAGACCTGGAGCTGTATGCAACCTGCAGAGAGGAGTCCGCAGATACATTCTTGTTGCTCCTGGTGGCTGAAGCAAGCGTAAAAGGACATTTCCCAGACATTAAAAAAAACTGGCAAGTCAGGTGTGGCTAGTGTTATTGTGTCTCATTTTGAGTTAGAAAAAATATGTACACTTTTCAATTTCTATAAGGTCACATTACTAGGGTCTTCCTGCATGAGTACCGCGATATGATATATAACGCGTTTTTATCACGCTCAATTGTCAAATTACTTTGGAATTTGACAGTTAGATCATCATCAGCCTATTAATGTCCCCACTGCTGGGGCACAGGCCTTCCCTAGGGGTAGAATAGGGAGATTGGGCCATGACCCACCACGCGGGCCCAGAGCGGATTGACTGGTGCTAAGAGTGCAGCCGGGACCAACCGCTTAACGTGCTTTCCGAAGCACGGAGGAACTCGAGATTTTTGATTCGACCACTGCGAAAGTTGTTTAACTTCAACGATCGCAGCCGAACGCGCTAACCAGCTGCACCGTCGAGCTTCTCTTCGAAGTAAAAAACGTGATATAATCTAAATTATAGGGCTCATGTGGACATGCTCATGTATGTGTGTAGTTTACGTAACATAAGGTCCGTGGTCACAATACTTGGGTCTTCCAGGTGCCGTGATAATGTACGTGATATAAATAACGTCAAAGTCGACATTTCCATGAGAAATAAAAAATAAATACCAGCTATCTTCGCATTTGGACTTTATCACCACTTAACATCAGGTGGGGTAGAGTCATCTGCTTACCTGGCTATAAATAAAAAAAAACATAAATAAAAAGGGAGGCAAGTAAACCAACACAAAAAACTGCTAAACTATTACTTTAATCATGTTACACCTTTTTATTTTATGTTTTGGTAAAACACCAGGTAAAACCTGGAGCATTTATTCGTAAGATAAACATACAGGTTTGAGTAATAAATCAGTGAGTGAGGAGAAGAGAACATTTCAATGCCCAATCTGAGGCTGAAGCACAAACTTTTACAGCTCCTCTTTTCCAAATTTTGTGCCGAAAGTTCTTACGTCCGATAGTTGCTTATTTTTTATAGAAACTTTGAGAATACAGTACGATTACGGAGCCGACAAAGTTCGTTCTTGGGCCTCTGTAATGATACAATCGCTCGCTCCCCCAAAATCTAATCTAAAACGTTACATTACCCAAAACAAAATTACACGTAGTATAATACAAGTAGGGTGTAGGTAGTATAATACAACAGGTGTAATATAATTTAATTGACGACACTGTATGAAACAAAACAGGGAGAAAAGAAAAGCCCTTGCTGAGTTTCTTGCTGGTACTTCTCAGTACAAGGTCTTCTGTAGTAGATTTACGAACCGATGACGTAGCGTTTAACTTTCACAAGAGCTTGTAACAGCTTAGACTGAATAAATGAGTTTGAGTTTAATATAGTGCAAGTATAATTTTCATGAACTTTTGCAGTATGGTCACCCCAGTCTTAGGCGGTACTAATCAAGGAGCCGACAATTCTGACGAATATTAATTCGTCAAAGTTTTCGAGTTGTGATTGCGTGCCTGATGAACGTACGAACAGACTAGCCAGCCATCACTGTTGATGCACCAGCCAAGCCGATCTATTCCTAAATTCCCCTAATACAAGGTATAATTTCGGGTAAACGAGCTCTAAAGTCTAACGAACTTAAGCTGCCGATGAAAAATATATCTTGTCACTAACAATTTCGATGCCAATTTCCCTTGGCTATGCAACAGGAAGTTTGTCTATAAGACAACCCATTGTTTTCAAGCAATCAGTTCCCTATTGTTTTGTTATAAAATTGGATTAATTAATAAATTGTACAGTTTTCGTTCCGAAATCAATGAATGAAAGCACGCAAAGCGCTACTTTTAACAAGTTTCCTTTTGTAACCTACTTTACTAAGGAAATATTTAAGAAAATCTGTTACATTACATATATTGATCTAAATAAAACTAGTTTTGTCACGGGTTAATGCACGAAACTTTATTGATTTATTGAGTATTTATTGAATGGAGTATAGAGACTCGGGTAAAAGAACATATCGCAGATATGAAACATAGGCGCGAAAATAAGTCTGCAGTGTGTGAACATGCATTAGGGGGACCAAACCATTACATTAGATTTGATAAACCACAGATCCTTGCAACTGAGCAACGATTCATTCCAAGAATGATACGCGAGGCTATTGAGATTAAAAAATATCCAAATTTCAATAGGGAAGATGGTAGGTATATACCACCAGCTTGGGAACCCATTATACAGGAGATAAAATCCCAACCCCGAGCACACACTGCAAGACCAACAGATACTATTAGTTCTTTTTGTTTGCATAATTTAATATA